CTCCTCCTGGTCTCCCTCCTCAGCTGAAACCTTCCGGTTTGGAAACTTTGGACTCTTCCTGTGAAATCTGCTCAGAGCCAAACGAGGATCCTCGATATGAAACAGGAAGATGTTTGTGCACAGACTGGGCTGTGGGAGGCGGGACTTCCACTGAGAGCTAAAAATAGCTGCCTGGCTGTTAACTGAGAGCCTCTGACATCAGCTAAATTTCAAATGAACATCTGCTCGACTATTTCGGTCAGGCCTGAAATGACGATTATCCTCCAAGTTGGAAAAATTTGCGAAATTTTAAAAAGAGAAGAAATTTAGTTTTAATTAAATGAATTTATTTAAGCTTTAATTCTAATTGTTAAAATCATTTAGTGAACTAAACCTGCTGCAGTGTGGCAGGCGGTGACCTTTAAGGAAGAGGATGAGCTGAAGAATACAGTGTCTGTAGAGTAAATGCACAGCCTGAAACATTCAACCGAAACAGCTTGAAAAAAATATCTGAGTGAACTGAATGAGGTTGTTAGAAGCTTCACAGGCGAGTACAGAAGAGTTTCATATTTTCCTCCACTAATTTAAGTAAAGCGTGAATTATTCCAGCCAAACTAAACGATGTAACCCTGAGAACAGCCGAGGGATGGGGCGCGTTTGATCGTCTCACCCTGTCAAGGTCGGGATGGACCAGCGCGACGTAGTCATTGCAGGCGACGACGTTACCGAGCGCGGACAGCCTCTCCTCGACTCTCTGGATCCTCACGGTGTCTGGGAGGCAGTTTCTGATGTGCTGCAGCTCCTGGTCTGTCGTGTTGTTGGGAACCAGGAGGCCGTGACGATTTCCTGAACAAACGGGAACGAGACGAGTGAGTCTGGCTGCAGCAGTCCGAGCACAGAGGAGTGCGATGGCCACGTTTAAAGATGATGGTGTGTTGTGGAGGATGCATACACTGCAACATTTATCCAGCTTTACTCACCCACACACATCCTCCCGATGATGCGACAGCCTGCTATGGAAGCGTGAACCACTGGGATGGTTTCTGACAGCTCCCCTTCAAACACACTGAACACACAACATCAGATTACTTCCAACAGACAAGGAAAAGATACGTCAACAAGAACCAAGTGAAACACTGATATCAGTGATCACGATCAGCAGCCGTGAGGCTTCCACTTCGTTGGACTTTCATCTCTGCTTTTTGCAGATGCTGTGGCTCTGTTGGTGGCCTCCAGCTCCGCCGTTCCTCCTCATTGAAAGGAGCCAGGTGAGGCGTTCTACAGGGAGGAGGCCTGGGGGCGGACCCAGGGAACGCTTAGGTGTTTACCAAAGTGGTGATGGGTGGAGATTATTAAGTTTATTATTATAACACAGCTGAGACCGGATCACCTGGACTGACTCGGGTGGCAGGAAACACACCTCGTTATAATAAAGGCTGAGGAATGTGACGCACCTTGATGACACCTCGCTGTAACTTTGGGTCCCAACTTCACCTCGAAGTTATCAAAGTGTGGCGCTTGTTCAAAGGTGAACTCACCTGTAGAAGTTCTCGGAGCCGCCGATGGCCACCAGGCAGTACGTGTTGGTCAGTTTGGCGAAGCAGCCGATCTCGTTGTTTTTCTCAAAGGCGGCTCTCACAGCCATGATGAAGACGGAGGAAGAGGTGGATGATTTACCTGTGAAACACCTGAAAACCAGCAGTGACGGTTTAAAGCCCGAAGTCACACCCGTCTGTCTGTTTACCTGGATATTTACGA